AAAGTGAGTGACATAGGTGCTTATGTAGGTGGGTTCCAACTTACAGCGAAAATCGCGTTATGTCGCGCTCTAGGTACGGATCTCTGACGTAACCCAAGGACCTACTGTGCTCCAATCAACTGAGCCATACCAGCGGGGCCATTGGTTGATTCTTGTATGTGCCCTGACCAGGGATCAAACCTGCAACCTTGGCTGTGTATGGGGACAACACTCTAACCAACTGTGTTACCTGGCTAGGGCTTATAAATTTCTTCCTTTCTTCCTTTCTTTTTTTATTTTTTATTGATTTCATAGAGGAAGGGAGAGGGAGAGAGAGCTAGAAACATCAATGATGAGAGAGAATCATTGATCGGCTGCCTCCTGCATGCCCCCTACTGGAGACCGAACCCACAACCTGGGCATGTGCCCTTGACTGGAATTGAACCCGGGACCCTTCAGACTGCAGGCCGATGCTCTACCCACTGAGCCAAAGACGACTAGGGCTATAATTTCTATTTTTAACAAGTATCCAAGTTAATTATGAACAGACAATTTTGGGAAACAGGTGCAAAACACTCACGGTGAACATTTGCTTTTCATAAGAATTTAAAGTAGAATTTAATAGTGTTGCATACCTTCTGGTTAGAGTTTATAAAATATGCTTAATTCACCCTGGCCAGTGTGGTTCAGTTGGAGCATGGGTCTATGCAATGGAAGGTAGTAGGTTAGATTCCAGGTCAGGGAATATACTGAGGTTGCAAGTTTTTAAAAAATATATTTTTATTTATTTCAGAGAGGAAGGGAGAGGGAGAGCTAGAAATATCAATGAGAGAGAATCATTGGTCAGCTGCCTTCTGCAGCTCCCTACTGGGGATCAAGCCCACAACCTGGGCATGTGCCCTTGACTGGAATCGAACCCGGGACCCTTCAGTCCGCAGGCTGACGCTCTATCCACTGAGCCAAACCGGCTAGGGTTAGGTTGCAGGATTGATTCCTGGTCGGGGCACGCTGATCCATCTGTGTCTCTCTTACATTGATGTTTCTCTCCCTACCCCTTCTTCCCTCTCTGAAATGAAATGAAATGAAATAAATAAAATAAAATAAATTAAAATCAATAAAATAAAACACAATAAATAAATAAAATAAATAAATAAATAAATAAATAAATAAAATATAAAAATAAATAAAATATAAAGTTAAAGCTTAATTCCTGTAGTCTTATCCATCCTAGTATCCTGGGATTTGCAGATACTAATAATAGAAATCTGGTTAAAAAAAGCAAACCATTTATTGTCTGATTGGGATATTACGTTTGTTACTGAAGGATCATGGGTGTTTTTTTTTAAAATATATTTTATTGATTCTTTACAGAGAGGAAGGGAGAGGGACAGAGAGGTAGAAACATTGATGAGAGAGAAACATCGACCAGCTGCCTCCTGCACACCCCCCACTCGGGATGTGCCCGCAACCAAGGTACATGCCCTTGACCGGAATCGAACCTGGGACCCTTCAGTCCGCAGGCCGATGCTCCATCCACTGAGCCAAACCGGTTTGGCCATGGGTGTTTTATATGTCGCTGGTTTTAAAGATGCCACGAAGTCCTGTATAATAAAGAGGTAATATGCAAATTGACCCTCACTCCATCACACTATCACAAGATGACTGCGCCCACAGCAGAGGCGGGGTTCCCATAATAAGCCATAATGAGTGATCATCAGGGATCTGAGGCTGCGTGCGACACCGGGCTAGGGCAGGGGACCTGAGGCTGTGCCCCCTGCCCAGTAAAGGCTTGATGGGGCACCTCAGGCCTCATCCCCTGCCCGGCAGGGCTTGACGGGGGACCTCAGGCCATGCCCCCTACCTGGTGGGGCTTGATGGGGGACCTCAAGGCGGGCCCTCCGCTCTGGCCTGGACCAGGGGACCTCAGTCCATGACCCCCGCCCTTGTGCCGGGCAGGGGGACCTCAGGCCGTGTCCCCCGCCTGGTGGGGCTTGACAGGGGACCTTACAGCATGTCCCCTACCCTGGCCCAGGCCAGGGTACCTCAGGCTGCGACCCCTGCTCCGGCACTGGGCCAGGGGACCTCAGGCCATGCCCCCCACCCTGGGGACCTGAGTCTGCGCTCCCTGCCCAGCATGCGCCGGCGGACCTGAGGCTGCACCCCCTGCCTGGCGGGGCTTGACGGGGGTGGGGCCGGTTAGGTCTGGGTCTCGCCCAGTGGGGGTGGGGCTGGCCAGGTCTGTGTCTCCTGCAATTTCGAGGAGCGGGTGGGGTCTTGGCTCTGGGTCCCACGGCGTGCCCCAGACTCTGACAGGAGGAAGATTTTTATATACATGTTACTAATTTTCTTTAATCTCTGACACTTCTATTATAGAGAAAGGCTAATAGCAATATTAAAATATTTCCTCTAATTAATTCCCTTTTAATGTGCATGAATTTCATGCACTGGGCCACTAGTGATTGAGATAAGTCAAATTCCTTAATTTTTGTATTATTCCATGCTGTTTCAAAGTGCTTCTGTGCCCTTTTCTGACCTACTTTACATCTAAAATTCACCCCTTTCCCATTGCCCAGCTGATTCAATTAGTGAATACCTATTCATGTTCCAAGCCTGGCTCAGTTTTTAGTTTATAAAGACATAATTAATTTCCTCTTCCTTTCCCCCTTCCCCAGAGAGACTTGTCTGTTTCTTCTTTTGGGTTGTTCTCTCCCACTCTATGGATACTGACTTGTATTATAGAACTTTATTGTTCTTGTTTATATATTTTTGTTTACTTCTACTTGGTTGAAAACTTCTGTGGGCAGTAATTTATCTTAGTTGTCCTTGTGTCTAATGCGTATAGAGTACCTTGTATATTTTTTTTCTTTAATATATTTTATTGATTTCAGAGAGGAAGGAAGAGGGGGAAAGAGAAACATAAATGATGAGAGAGAATCATTGTTTGGCCGCCTCCTGCATGCCCCGTAGTGGGGATCAAGCTCGCATCCCAGGCATGTGCCCTGACCGGGAATCGAACCTGACCTTCTGGTTCCTAGGTCGATGCTCAGCTACTGAGCCCACAGTGGTCGGGCGAGTACCTTGTATCTTAAGATGTGTGTGGAATGAATACAAAAAATTGTCAGAAGGCACTGTTGTCTATTTTAATAGATGTAATTATTAGTCTGTATGTGGACTTTGTAGAATTAGAAGATTTTCTAAACTGTAAATAGTCTAGTAATCTTTTAGAATGTAGTGTGTTATATTCATTGGGAAACTGCCTTAGAAATTTTAAGAAAAGTAGATTCCAGTTAAGTCTTGGTTACAAACAACACAAAGTAATTTAGCTTATTTGAGTAGAAAGGAACTTACTGCAAGGGTATTGGATATCTTACAGAATGGACAGGAAAGGTGGAAAATTAGGTTTGGGAAATAGGCAAGAACCAAGGGAGACTGCTGCACACTCAGCCAAGGTCTGGCCATGGGAATAGAATAGTATACTGCTACTGGATTTGCACCACTGCCTCTGCTG